CATTACCCATTCAAGCTGTCTCCAACCATTATTAGTCTCAAAGTGGGTTCCTCGTCATCGAAAATATACCAGTATTCATGTGCTTTAATTACTATCATCCACTTTTCATGAAAATAGCACCTATTACTGTACAGGCATAAATTTTAATCATAAAAGCTGTTCCAAACATAAAGATATTAAGGATTTACAACATACACTTGAATGATTGTCTAAACCATTTCATTTCAGACGTCTTCATAAAGACTTTAAGAAATGAGGAAAAGAAAATTAACACTACGTATCTCTACAATGGCAGACATACTGTTGAGAGTTAAACCCATGCACAAGAACATACTTAAAAGAGACCAACATCAGTGAAACATCTTGTGCATTAGATGTACATTGATGAAACATCTCATGCTTTAGACCTACATTAGTGAAACATCTTTGGCTTTAGACCTACATTAGTGAAACATTTCATCCTTTAGACTTGCATTAGTGAAACATCTCATGCTTTAGACCTACATCAGTGAAACATGTCATGCTTTAGACCTACATCAGTGAAACATCTTGTGCATTAGACGTACATTGATGAAACATCTCATGCTTTAGACCTACATTAGTGAAATATGCCGTGCTTTAGACCTACATCAGTGAAACATCTTTGGCTTTAGACCTACATTAGTGAAACATCTTGTGTTTTAGACTTACATTAGTGAAACATTTCATGCTTTAGACCTACATTAGTGAAACATTTCATCCTTTAGACTTGCATTAGTGAAACATTTCATGCTTTAGACCTACATCAGTGAAACATGTCGTGCTTTAGACCTACATTTGTGAAACATCTCATGCTTTAGACCTACATCACCACATAAGACATGCATAAGGGTTGATTCACAACGACAAACCAAACCACATAAGAGATGTGTAAGGGTTTACCAACAAGATTAGACTACACAGATAACATTAAGTTTTGCTTCACAAGGTCAGACCCATTTATTATCTGTAAGGACTGATTCACCAGGTTAGGTAACAAGGACATCTGTTGGGGTTGATTCACCAGGTAAGATCATTTACCTTTATAAACAAAGTCTACACATTTAACTTAAATATCTTAAATACTAATCTAGACAATTTGTACTAATTATACAAACAAACAAATGTTTTTTATTTTAGATAATATAATGCAATGTATTTGTAAAATCATCAGACCTGTTGGAAATGTTCCAGTACTTGTTGATGCATCGAACACCTGAAACCACAGACATTACAAAGGTATGGCATTTCACACTCAACATGCATGGTTTTCATATGGGCAATAAGAGTAACTTCTGATGAAAAAGCCTGGTTACATATTCCACATGCCAAAGTATCCATCTTCATGTGAACCTGGATAGCAGAAACAATATTTAGACTACAGAGAACAGAAACTAGGAAGTAAAACTTTTATATATATATATCGATCTAGGTTTCAAAGAATAAAAACCACCACAATAAGGACCAAATAACATAATTAACTTCAAATGAATGACCATAAACTCCAGAAAATTGTATTTCACCAAAAGCACCTAACTATAATGACTATTAGGCTCACAAGAATATTATAAACTTATTTAAAGGACAGTCAGATATGAGCTGCCATTTTTGTTTATGCTACAAACTCCTTTCTGTACTATAATGTTTCAAAGGTTCCATAAGCATGTTGAGCAGGAGATGTTTCACTAATTTAGGTCTAAATCATAACATGTTTCACTAATTTAGGTTTAAACAGGAGATGTTTCACTCTGTTTTTGTGAATCAACCCTTACATATGTCCTATGGGGTCTATCTTTGTTGATCAACCCTTATACGTGTACTGTGTAGTCTGTCTTTGTGAATCAACCCTAACATATGTTCTGTATTCAAATTCAACTTGTACCTGATGATGACAAAACCTTGTTGAAACATTGTACATTTGCTGTTATGTTAAACTTATATTAAAGTTTTTCTTCATTACCCATTCAAGCCATCTCCAAGCATTATTATATATCCTGTGTGTTCTGTCTTTGTGGATCAACTCTTACACATGCCCTGTGTGGTCATCTTTGTGAGTCAGTCTTTATACATGTCATGTGGTATAATCTCATTAAATAACCCTTATGTCTGTGTGGTCTAACTTTGTGAATAATTGCTTAATGTTGTTTGTGTGGTCTAATGTAGTGAATTAACTCCTAAAGATGTTCTCTGTAAGTTAACCTAATGAACCAACTCCTCTAGATACTCTGTGTAGGCTAACTTTATGAATCAAACCCTCAGATTCCGAGAAATCAAGGTTATTGCTTTGAAACAAGACACGGGTTTTAGGTTTTTATTAGCAGGAAGTACTTTGAAAATTTCTATTATGCCTCCAACAACCTTTTTATTTGAGGCATCATGATATGTCTTGACATTTAGGTGTGCATACATTTTATAGATATGGTCACTGCCAATTCCACTACATACCTCCCATAATATTTCAAAATCATTATCAGTTTATCAATCTGCCACCCTCCAGATGTATTATAGGCAATTATTCTGTTATCTCATGAAGTGGCTCTAATTACGCCATGAGTTTGTGACCAGTCATCATGATTCCATTTCTTACATTAAATACAACAGTTCAGAACATTCTTGGTGTCACATGTGGTAGATCAGACAGTGACCAATCATCATTATTTTAAATACAACAATTCAGAACATTCTTGGTGTCACATGTGGTAGATCAGACATTGACCAGTCATCATGATTCCATTTCTTACATTAAATACAACAGTTCAGAACATTCTTGGTGTCACATGTGGTAGATCAGACAGTGACCAATCATCATTATTTTAAATACAACAATTCAGA